TGTACCTACCTTAATATTGGCTTGAAGTTCAATATTATCAAAGTGGTTTTTAATTGTAAAAGTATCACAGTCGTCACAGAAGTGTTTCACCCAAACATAAAGTAGTCCCAATGATATACACACTTCCTCTGATAGCCCAACATCTCCAAAGGAGCTGTTATAAAGTCAACTGCACTGTCTCATACATGTCTAATGGGTCCAACAGAGCCATTCGAATGTCAGTTATATGGCAGGGCTCTTGCTAAAGCCATTAACAAGTCATTGCATTGTTTCACACACTTCCTTCGACATTCAGATGGTTCCTGAGGAACTGTTATCACTGCTATGGAAGGGTTCTATGTAACTTACATTACCAGGGGAAAACAAAAAAGCAAAGAAAAGAAGTGTAAAACAAACAAACAAATTTCCTCCATTAAATGTACACGAATGGCCCCACATGGTCAAATATCAGAAGGAATAACTTCTCATTTGGGCATAACCATTATCTGTCATTTAAGAAACCCAGGTGTTAGGCTAACTGTTTTCTCAAAACTCCAGCTGTTCTTTTGAAGCAATTTAGGGTCTGAGAATGGCATACTCATGACTATGATGGCATGGTGTTTACTGGTAGCTCATGCTGTATTATCAGGGTTCTGTGGCATGCAGTACAGAAGCAATATGGAGCAGTACTAATGGATTTCTTGGCTGTTATGGGATTTTATCAGATATTCCATTACCTATAAAGTTCCTGAGCAGCACATAGGAAGCTCAGCTGCCCAACAATCATGATAATCAACAGGGCTTCTGAGTACTAGTTCAAATCCCAGCTCTACCTTAAAGGGCTACTACAATTTCAATAGGAAATACAATAGCACAAATTAATCCTCAGAGAGGTCTGAAGTGCTTCAGTGAATTTCCTCTTATAGTCTTCTATGTTTAGCAGAACAAGAATGTTGGCTATTAAAATGTTGTATTATTTAAGGTAAGACAAGTACAAGGATTTCTACCTAGTTTGAAATGAGCAGAAAGTGGACTGGACTCTGCTAGGCAAGAGAATTCCCCAAGACATTAGATGTTTCAGAAGCCGCATTGCATCTCTGTCTAATCCTTGATAACAGAGATCTCATTTGATAACACATATCATACAATATGCATATAAGAGATGAATAGTGATAAACAACCACAAGTGACATTAATTGAGCATTTAATTCTAATAGACATACTATAAAGTGCTATATATTAATTTTCTCATTTAATCCTCACCAAAAAAACTTCCAAAAACTTTGAAATAGGTAATGTTTTAATTTGCCAGACAAGAAAACTGAGGCTTGGAGAGCTTTAGTTACCTGTCTAAGGACACACAGCAGTTAAGTGGCTGAACTAGGGCATAAACCTAGTTATTATACCATGGTTATTCTTAACCACTCACGGTATAGAGAACATTATTTAGATTGCATTAATATAACCATTTTAAATTTAATAAATGGTTTCATATCTCTTGTGCTCTCAGAGCAAGAGGCATATATATTTATCATGTTACTAACTGAACTGTATTCAAATTCAGTTTTTATTCTCTCTAGTAGACCTTTTTGGCTATATGTGCCCACTTGACATTGACTGCACTGCGTTGGAAACTGCTTTGAGAATCAAATGGGTGGGCTTCTAAAAGTCGCACTTATATTACTGACCCTATTTCTGGTTACAGCTGATGGGACCAGTGGTAAACATCTGACTCAAGCTGGGAAAATTATTATTATGTCTCCTTAGAATTTGTAAATTGCACTAAGAAACATCCAGTAAATCTTAGCTTCTTTTTTCAACAGAAGAAATATAAATTGGGGTTTAAGAAGGTATGAGGTTTCATGCCTGTCTTGTGGATGGAGATTTAGATAAAGTCAATCTGCTGAGATAGGGTTGAAGAAAATGGGTTCAGAAGCAATGTGCCGGAAATTCTTCTAATCTAGCCCCTTCTTATGTCTAGCCACACTCTTGCTCTGATTCCCATGACATATTCTCATATTGTTTTAACAAATTTGTTTTTTTGTATAACCAAGCTCAAGTTGGTTTCTGTTACCTATAATAAACAATCTTAACTAATAGGGCATCAATCTCTCCCATCAGACCGTGGCAAAAATTCCTTGAGGTTAGAGTTTGTGTATTATTCGTCTTTCATATATCCCCAGTCTCCAATACAGTATTTGGAAAAGAGAATGTGCTCAGGAAATACTGTTTGAGCAGAAATATCATTATCACCAAGTCTATAACTATAAATAATTTCTTTGCTATTTATACTTTATTAGTTAAAGGTTATAAATGTTTTTTTCTACCTATCTCTCTCCATTTAGCTTCTTCATAAACAATTTCATTTTCACGTTTTATAATCCAGCTGTTCCATTCAGGCCATATGTGAAAAACACATTTTTGGAAATTGATTATTCAAATTTAGCTGCTGATGCAGTTTTCCCCTCCAGCTCAATGTACAGTCAGATGTAATTATTGAGGGATACCCTAATCACTGAGGTTGACACACAAATAGGACTGTCAAATTCTAAGAAATGCCCATTAGATCACCTGTCAGAGGCAGAGTTGGATGTTAGATGACCAGAGGTCTGACCCAATATAGTATTTCTATCCTTATAAGCCTCATACAAGATCATAGAAGATGCACACAAATTATATTATCTCTCAGTTTAGTTTTTTTTTTTTTTCCTCAGAGCAATGTTAATTTCTCATTTATTTAGTGCCCATTGTGTTCCAGGTCCTGTTGCCAAGTACTGAAGCTACAACAGTAAATAAACCAGACCTTCTCTTCAAATAGCTTTCAGTCTAGTGCTCATTAACCACCAATGTGAAAATAGAAAATATATAACTCTAACATTAGCCTATGATGAGTAGAAATGTAGTTAATAAGGTAAAATAGGAAGGAAAAGGAGTAGAATAAATAAAGCATGATGGCTGATATCAAAGTATCACCCAGGCATTGATTGCTCACAGGTCCCAGGATGAAGCTAACTTGAGTGAATCTGCATTTTTCCTAATAAATGATTAAAATTCAAAAAATAACAAAGGGCTTTCTTGGGACAAATTCAAGGGAATGGAAACACAGTGCATTAGTGTCCTGATAGCCTGTTAAAGCCTAGACATCCAGATTTTATTCTGTTACCTGATGGTCTCCTTTCCCTGTACTTCAGGCTTTTATGTCTGTTTCAGTGTTGAAATTAAGGATTGTTTGTTATAAGCCTTCACAGGTTATAGCATGTCAGACAAATTCAATTAAGCTAACCAAATAGAGTTGGTGGGATGAGAAAAAAAATTCTTAAAGGCTTGCTAATTAATGGCATGAAAGAAACAAGTCCTTATAGACATGATTTTGGAAATTTAAGTAGAAATTTTGTCATGTTCTCCTAAATAGAATTATAAGCATCCAAATCACTCCTTAGAATCATTCTCAGTTAGACACCTCATCCAAATGAACAATTTCTCCTATGTTCACTTTTACATCACATTCACAGCAGGTGAGGCGTAAAACATTCTAAGATGGTCCACGATATTGTGCCCATTGCCTCATCAATAATCTAAAACTCAGAAAGTATAGGAAAACAAAAACAAAACAAAATGTCACTGACATTAATTGAAGTACAAGGATGGGGTGGCATGGAGTCTGAGGTGGTGAAACATATATATCAAAAATAGTTTAAGCAGTTTCACTCTTTTCAAATATAATGAAAGAGATGCCCTGCTAGGCATGCTTTCATAAATGGATGAAATCAATGGGAAATATGACAACATTTGCACACAAGCACCAAGTTCAATTCATTGAAAATAACTTGTTTCCTCAAATTAATGTGCTTTTGGAAAGGCCATTTACACTCTCATCTAAATTCAAACTTCCTCTGCAAGAATCTATGGAAATGTTGAAGGCGGGCCAGGCTTGGTTGTCATCAGTTAAAATTTGTGGAATCCACATTGGTGAAATCTTACCAGAGGTCATAAAAGAGACCCCCAATTTTGTATTCCTTATTTAAAATAGTAGAGGCAATCAAAGTAAGACATAGAGAACTCTAATCTGAGCAGAAAAAAAAGATGTTCAAGTTCACATCTTGAATACATACATTATCCAAGGGAGGAGACAATGGTTATTTAAAAAGCAATCCATTGCATTTAGTTAGCTGGTTTCTGAATTGTTTTAATACTTCCTCATATGTAAAATGAGGATAATAATAAAAACTGTTTCACAGAGCAGTACTGAAGATACAATGGGATAAAGAGATAAAGAGTGTGTTTGAAGAACTTGAAATGTTGTCCAGTAATAATAGTGAACATTCATATTGTTCCTATATGTAACAAGTACTGTTCTAAACCCTTATGTACCAGCCCCATCCCAATTTTGAGTAACTGTCCTGTAGACGAATGGGAGAACCCTTCCACAAGATATTTGAGAAGAGCCAAGCACAGACTCATGAAAATCATTTACAAATGTTGCTTGCAGCATCCCTCTGCAAAGGGCAAAAACCCAATCAATGAGCATAATGCAGGCAAAAGTAAAAGAACACCAATACCCTCTCACTGAAGAATGATACAATATAAATGCAGGTTTACAGAAAAGAATGAACAACAGTTTTTTTACTTGAAAGTGTAATTCATAATTGATGACATGGATAAAATATAATTCTAAAGTCAGGCAGGAACATCTGGAGAAAAAGACTAAAGCCATCTGCTAGGTGACATCTGAAAGTTATCGCGTTATCTGAACTATACTGAGTTAATGGTTAATGCAACATTTGTAGATATGTAGGAAGTAATAAGCCAAACCCAACTCAGCCTGATTTCAATCTCTGCTTCCATGCTAAAGTAGTATTTTTTCATTCCACCTAAAATCCTGTCTTGTTCATCTCCTCATCTCTCCCTTCACCCCCTTTCCTCCCCACCCCCACACACAAAGTTTTCCAAAAGAAAGCAAAGCAATAAGCTGCCACTGAGTTAATCCGACAGGCTAATTGACCAGGCCTGCATGTTGTTTGTTAGAGAACAGGGTTCCACTTTGTGGAGTGGCTGTTAGGGATGGAGTGAAGTAAAAATAATCTGTAGTCAAATATTTGAAAATACTTGCCTTGAGTAGAGCCAGCTTGAGCCTCCATATCACAACAAACAGGAGAGAATTTAAAACCTGTAATAGAAAAACATTTTTCTAATTAATCCTTGTTTAAGTCATCTGTGATTCCTCAAACTTCAACTCTTACCTTCCTTCCAGTGGCCCACTACTATACAATATGTTCATGTAGTGAACACGCATGTGTACCCCCTGAATCTAAAAAAAAAAAAAAATCCTTAATTTTAAAACAAAAATAAAATAAAAAACATATAAATACATCTTAAAGATTATTTTAACTGGACTGTATGACTGGACATTTATTTGTAAGTCTTTTGAAGTAGGGACACAGCCTTTTGTTGAGAATTACGCATCTAATGACCAGGGTACCCATTTATTTCTCACATAAACTATACCTGTCATATGTCTACAATTTCCAGGTGTATTTTATTTATAATAAGAATTTGAAGATACACTAGAAGAAAGCTGAGAGCCATTCTAAAAGTTTGATTTTTTTTCCTTTTGTTGCTACTTCCTATATCTGATTCAACAATAAAAACTTAAGCGCATTTCTTCACCAGTAAAAAAAAAAAAAAAAAACAAACAAACCAAAAAACACACACAACTCTATTGAAATATAATTCAATATCATAATATTCACTCTTTTGAAAGTGTACAATTCATTGTTTTTTAGAATATTCACAGAGTTGCATAACCATCACCACTATCTAATTCTAGAATATTTCTATCACCTCCAAAAGAAACCTTATGCTGAGGGGCTTCCAAAGGCAGAAAAATTGTGGAACCCAGTGGGAAACTTCTTTTTTTTTATTTTAATGTTTCAACCCAGTGAATTTGCTATGAATTCCTATGTCAAGTTTGAGATAAGGGAGAGTGAGATATTTTGACAATCAGGAGATCAACTACCACACCATTTCATATAATTTTGGTCATTGCTTTTCCTGATTGACAGATGAAACCGAAAAAAGTGTAGTGACTAGTTTAATACCTCCTAATTTCTATCCCAGTGCTCTTTTACCTTACGAACATGGCAACATATCAATTGTACGTTTCCCTCTCATTTCCACATTTTACTTCAAGAACTCAAGACCCCAAAATACTTGGAGATATTGCAAAGTGTTATGGGCTGTTATTTAGAAATTTATGCTCTAACTAGCAGGCAACCACTCATTCCTGATTATATCTCTCTAGCCAGTATTCCCTTTGGGCTGAAGAGGACAGAATAGAAAAAACTGCAAGTATAAGGTGGCCTGTTATCTCTCTGCCACCTGAGAAAATACTAATTAGCCACTGCTAACAGGCTAGGCCTTGTGGTCATGATGATGAGGACCTCTAAAATTTAGACAAACAGAATGATGGGTAAACTGGATTAACATGTTTAATAAGCATTAATGTGCTTTCTATGAAAGGATTTTGTTCTTTGGTAGGGATAAAAGAGCAGAAATAAAATAAATCAACCCCTATCCAACAAATCAAAAAGACAAAACTTTTTCTTTTTTTAAAAGTTACAAGGAAATAATATATAATAACAATATAATGATGCTGCTGTTGGTAATCTTATTGTCTAGAAAATGACTGATATTAATTCACCTTCTGTTTTTTTAAATCATTTCAGTCTAATCTTGTAACTTTTTTCTATACATTCAGCAAGTTACTTTGAATCAAAATAGTAAGCACATATGGCATTTGCTTGCTATATGATTGTTTCATCTCATTGTTCATATATTGATATAGAACTAAAATACATAAAATGAGTACTTTCTATAATAAATCCCACTAGTATTACTGTTGAAAACAAAGATGAAAAGAAAAGGTGAATAATGAATAAAACATGCACAATAGTGCTGATTATATGAGATTATTTCCCTTGTGGATTCACTAAAAATGAAAAGTATTTTGTCTATCATTGAAAATAAATGTCTATTTGCTGGATAATTAGGTACATGCCTTGTCCAAGAATACCTGCTAACTTGTATTTCCATTCTGCATGTTAAATGAAAGAACGGCAGATATAGTGGAGAAAAACAAAGCAAAGGCTAAAAACTGGAGGCTCTCTGTTTTTTATATAAACAGTATAGGTAGGTTTTATTACCATTTTCCCCATCTGACTTCCTTTCGTGGTCAGTGTCGGTCAAGGATAATGCAGAGTTGGCCCGACTGGACAGGCAAGAACTATGCTCTGATTTCATTCCCCTTATCCACATTCTTAGAGCATGGTCGGGTGAGGCAGCACCTTCCGTCTCTGTGTCCACATCAGATCCCATCTCCAGCTGATAGCCATGACGAGAAACACTGTGCATGTCTGTCTGGTAGCCAGAGCACAGAGTGTGAGAGGTTTCACAAAATTCCATATCTGAGAAGAAACAAAGTTCAGAGAAAAAGTTTAGAAGCATAAGGAAATATTCGATAAAATTCTACTTTTTGTCCTCATGCCCCTCTCCCCCATTGCTAGTAATTATGTGTTTTTGCAAAGTTAGAATTCTGGCCTTTTATTTATGGTAGCTAGAATTCTGTGCTTATTTTGCACTTCTGTAGCTTAAAATTATGCTCCTGTTGATTCTTACATGGTTCTGGAAAAAGCATGCCCAAAATAGCTTTATAGCTACAATTTTAGGTTGCACAAAATATATAATGAAATAAGTGAGTTTAGAGGAGTATAAAGTGTAGAGAGCTGTCCTTTAAAAGATATATCTCTTCTAGGAAGAATATATATGATCTATAGAATATACCTATGCTTAAAATATTAAAATTATTTGCTTTTCTAAGTTATTTCATACACATTGAAGTTAAGAATAAATAATTCAATGTGACAACTCTGAGAAAAAACATTAAGTTCAAATACACTATTCTAAAGTATTTTTCCTAAAATATTTTTCCTAAAACACATTTTCTTAAACTCTAAAATTATGAGTATCTACTATTATTTTCCCATTGTTTTTAAAGGCGTTTAAGGCCTACTTTATTATAATTATTCTTTCAGTTCATTCTTTCAACCAATGTTCGAAATATTCAGTCATATATTTTACCTTGACACTGTTTTGTGGTTTTCATTTTCCCCTCAGATCTTAGAACTATAAAATGTTTAGAACCTTAAAGATGATGTAATGGATCCCCTCTTTTAACAGCACAGGAAAATAAACTACAGAGAATAGATGTTATTTGTCCATAACCCACATCAGATGGTAGCGGAGTCCTTTTTCCCTAAAACAGCCATCTGGACATGGTTTCTGCTAGACTCCAATGACGCCCCATTAACTTACTACATAAATATCAGACATTCAGTCTTAAAGTCAATTTTACATTCAATTATGGCAAGGTGTCAAAAAAGGGGAAAGATGCTTTAGCAATTCCTAATAAGTTAATGAAAAATGACCACATGCCAAGACATGTCATCTGAAATGTCCATGTAATACTTAGATAAGGTAATCTGGAGATGTAGTACACTATATAGGATTTTTTCAGACTGACATCAGAGACAGGGTATGTCATTTGGCCTGGAAGAAGCTTAACTGAGTACATCTAATCCTTAGCACATATCAATAAGATGCAAACCCTAACATGAATTTAAAATTTGAATTCAGAAAATCCTGGACCTTAGACCATACACTACAGAAAAAATTGCAGAATACGAATATATTTTTAAGTAACTATTTAATAACATATAATTGCCAAATAAGGATTTAACAAATTCATTCTCAATGATTATTTAATAATCACTAGGTGCCTAGTACTGTGCTTTGAGAAACAGACATTGTAGGAAAATAAAGTTACTATAATGTATTAGGAAAATTCAATTAAAATGGACACAGACAGCATTGTAAGCTGATGCTGAATATGTTACTTTTTTATTTTGGTGATGAATGCCTTTAAGAGTAATTCTACTTTTCTAAAAAAAAAAAAAAAAAAAAAAGACTAAATTCCAAAGGAATGGTGTTTAAAAACATAAGCATGGTTTCCACTTATCAAACATAAAACCTTTTCAAACCATGCTTCTCTTTGCCATAAGCTAAACTGTAAAAATCCACTTCACTCAGTATAAATCTTAGCGATCTAGAGTATTGGGATTGGTTAATATTCATGCTTCTTAATTTCACAATGTTTCATTATCCAGTCCTACTGTGTAGTTGTTACTACAGCGATCTGATAATGAACCTGTCAGCTTGAAGCTGTAAGACATGAATTTTATATAGGCTGGTATTCACAACTATCTTCATTCTCCTAGACCAGTGGTCCTTTTTTTTTTTGAGTTGGAGTCTCACTCAGTAGCCCAGACTGGAGTGCAGTGGCACGCTCCTGGCCACCGCACCCTCGACCTGCTGGGCTCCGGTGATCCTTCTGCCTCAGCCTTCCAAGTAGCTGAAACTACAGGTGTGTGCTACCACGCCCGGCTAATTTTTTTGATTTATTGTAGAATGAGGTCTCGCCAAGTTGCCCAAGCGGGTCTCGAACGCGCGGGTTCAGGCAATTCACTCACCTCAGCCTCCCAAAGCGCGGGATTACAGGCTGAGCCACTGAGCCTGGCGACCAGTGGTTCTTAAACTTGCCTGCTTCAGAATCACCTAAGAGGCTTGTTAAAACATATGTTACTGCACCCCACTTCCAGCCTTGAGTTCTAGTTGATGGTTCTGCTTTAGCAGGTGTGAAGTAGGGCAGATAATTTGCGTTTTGCTTTCAAATCTTTCCTTGGTGAGGCCCATGCTGCTGGTTCAGGGACCATACTTTGAAAACTACTGTCCTAGAGATTTCTCTGAAGTCAATGGGAGCCAGGAATAGATGAGTAGTGACGGTACAACCTCATCATGGCATTACTACAGATTTTTATACACCAGCTGTAATTCCCTTTGAAGACACAAGAAAGAAAACTTTTGCTCTGAATTGCTGTGAAGTCTTTCCATTTATTTTCCATGGATTCAAGGCACTAATTAGAAAATTTCCAAGAGCACAGACTTGCATTGTTTCATTCATGCAATGGCATATGAGATATGGCTATCCCAAAGATTTTAATACGAGCACCTGAGTCATGACATTCATTGGAAAAGGATGAGCAAAGGAAAATAAATACCAATTTTTCATTCCAAGTGAATAAAACAGTAGATAAAACTATTTTCTTTTAAAAAATGAGGACTGACAGATATAAACACATTCCCTTTTTATTAAACAGATTTTTTCCATTCAAAAGGAAATTTGTACATGGATTTGTTTCTTTCTAAGGAAGTGCTGTGTAATATGATCAAAAATCACATAGGATAAACAACTTGTTTTCTATTGGAACTATGTTCAGCTTTGAGTACAAAAGCAAAATCACAAATTCTCTAATTAAATACAGTCAGATAAAAGTACTCTTCTTTGACAATCTATAATTAGAAAAAGTAACAATCCAAGTAAGCTCTCAGTTGCTCTTTTTAAAAAAGTGCCAAAGTAAAGAAAAAAAAAAGAAAAAAGAGAAAGAAAAGTCTCACTTATTTACAGTAAGTGATATTCATTGAACTGCCTTACTTCTCTTTCTTGAAATCTATGTTACCATTGTAAAATATTTCCTTAAATATTCGAAAGTCTTGGTGGTGTTCAAAATTCCCTCAGGATGCATTATCTAAAAAGCACTTACAATGGACTTTAAGTAGTTGTTTTTCAGTCTTGCACATATAACCTTGTTACCTAAAATACTACATATTCCCTAGAGAAGATGAAGTTCAATTGCATTTATTACAGATCTATTCTTACCAAAAAAACGAGTCATGAGAGAAATGTAAGTACAATTTTAGAATGTCTAAGGTTTAGATGGATAGACTTTTGCCATGAGAAACTATATTAGTAAACAGGTATAGATGTGGTCAAATGAATGATGTATTTGTAATCTCACAAACATGTGTTTAATTTTTATTTTAAGGAAAACCAATTTTACAACCTTGCAAGAGACAAAATCTGAGTTGAAATCCACTATTTAAATGGGCAAAATGTTTAAAGAGACAATTTACCCAAAAGATAATGGAGTAGCCAATAAATAAATGAAAAGATGTTCAACATCATTGCTACCAGGAAAATACAAACTAAAATCACAATGAGATACCACTACCTATCTACTAGAATGCTTAAAAATTTCTGGCCACACAAGATGCTGACAAGGATGTGGAGCAAATACAATTCTCATACACTGGTGGTGAGAAAGTAACATAGTACAGCCACTTTAGAAAACTGGTAATTTACTAAAAAGTTAAAGATATACTTACCAAAAGAGCAATTGCCCTCCTGGACATTATCCCAAAGAAATAAAAACTCTTGTCCACTCAAAAGCCTGTACAAGATTGTTCATAGCAGCTTTATTTGTGAATAGCTAAAAAATAGAAATAGCTGAACTGTTCATGAACAGATGGATGGATAAGCCACTTGTGGTATACCCATATCATGGAATATTACTCAGTTTTAAAAAGGAATGAATGATTGATGAATAACAGTATGATGGATTTTGAAACAATTATGCTAAGTAAAACAGGACAGACAAGTCTAGAAAATGCAAATTAATCTACAGTCACAGAAAGCAGATGAGTGTTGCCTTGGAAAGAAGGTGGAGGGAGAGATAGATGACAAAGGGACACAAAGAAACTATGGAGGGTAATCTAAATGTCTGATATCTTGAATGTGGTGATATTATTACAGGTGTACAGATGCCAAAGTTTATAATATTTGCACTTAGGTATGTGTAGGTACGTCAATTATACCTTTATAAAGTTTTGGTTGTATGTTTGTTTTCTGGTTAGTGGACTGTACACTACCAGATAGCAAAACAATGAGGAGACTTTGAATCAGCTAATTTTCACAGGTGGAACCAAGTGTCTCAGGGCTAGAAGGAGGTCCTGCTCTTTTCTCCTTAATGGAATAAAGTATGCATAACATAGGCCGGGCTCAGTGGCTCAGTCTGTAATCCCAGTACTTTGGGAGGCCGTGGCAAGTGGATTACCTGAGCCTGCGGGTTTGAGACCAGCCTGGGCAACTTGGCGAGACCGCGTCTCTACAATAAATAAAAAATTAACTGGGCGTGGTAGAGTGTGCCTGTAGTTCTCGCTACTTGGAAGGCTGAGGCAGAAGGATCGCCGGAACCCAGCAGATCGAGACTGCGGTGGCTGGCAGCGTGCCACTGCACTCCAGTTTGGGCGACAGAGTGAGACTCCAACTCAAAAAAAAAAAAGTACGTATAACACGAACAAAATGTTAGTCAAAATTTTATCTTGTTTATGTCTAAGCCAGGAGGCCATCAAGACTAACTGATGCGTGATTTCTTAGTCATCCTCTAGGTAGCACTTTTGTCCTAGGGAAATAACAGTTGAAAACTAAACTAGGGAGACTAGGGATCGTGAGACTAAGTTGAGAGAGTCTGGCACATAGGATCACCTAAAGGCATTTATTAATGTCAATAATTAATATTTTTAAAAAATGCTCCTCAGCTTCCCAAGTAGCTGGAACTACAAACGCGCACCATTAAAAAATGCTATGAAGTGCCTAATAAAATTAACTACAGTACTTTCTTTCTGAATCTTGGGGTTGATCTTCAGGTGTTCAACCTAGAGATGGCACTTATCAAAACTTGAAAGGGAAAGTAGAGCTATGTCAGCATTTTTCTAGAAATACCATTTCTGTTTCTGATAAACGCAAGGCTTTATTTTCCTTAAAATTCTACTCGTCCATAATCTTCTGAAAGGAGAGCTTTAAGGCATCATACTCCAAATAAATAATTGGAGGTCAAGAAGTGTGATTAATCCAAACCGTGACCTGAGAAGTAGGGGATATACTTTTTCAAGAGTATAGTTCGTTTTTCAAAATAAAGTTGAGAAGGAGGGAATAAGGTGATTAGCTGTAATTACTATTACTCATAAAACCCTAATGGAGTATATGCCAAAGCAGGTGTTATTAATTAGCCATGTGGATTTTCGATAAGTCACTTAACATTTGGGGGGCATTCATTTCTTCATTTGTATAAATCTTTAGGTAACCATCTTGTTCTAAAATTTTATAATTATGAACGTGTTATGGCAAAATGCATAATGGTCAATATTTTC